ACTACTGTCAGAAAGGGACTGTAATGCCTTGGTCATGTTTTTGGTCTGGAAGTGTTTTGTCCTCATTGTGGGCTCAGTTTCTTCCAGGAGAGGGTTCTGCCGTGTAGTCTTTCTACAATGTTGAAGGTCTTAAAGAAGGCCCTAGCTCAAATCACTGATTATATGAGAAGAACAGAGAGTGATGATGTATCCTTGTCTGAATAGGTGACATGTGAAGAGCATTTTCCTAAGCAGACTGCTGAATCCTTTAGAACTCAGTTTTAATCCCAGCAAACCTAAAAGACTCAAGCTAATTTGGAAGAATCACACAAGGGCATTCCTCATATAGCATGTATAGGCTTTCCTATGTGCCAGAGCTTGTCTTCTGTCAGATTGATTGCAGTATTTACTGAAGATCCTGAGGCATCTCTGCTGTCATCCTGCCACTCAAATGAGGGTTTCTCTGATTGTCCTAAATCAAATGGCTGGCTGGATTTATCTGTATTCTGTGATGTGTGTGTAGATTTTACATTGAACTGGGTTTTCCTGATGGTCATCTAATGAGGTTTCAAGACAAATCCCTGTAAAAAGCCTGAGACACTTCCTTCTAAGAGGTCACCAATAACGTTTTTATCCCAGTGCTTTTCCTTGTTCTCCATGGTCAATAGACAAAAATAACCTCCTGCCTTCCCAACCTGGGCAGCTCAATGAGTCGTCTGGTAGGTGAGAGCTTGTGCTTTTCCCTAGATCACAGTCTGCACATCAGCGTGGTGGAGATGAGGGCAGTGAGGTCACTTACATCAAGCCTTCTAGCTGTGCAGTCATGACCATGTTATGTGGGCCATGATGAGTATTTCCACTGTGATATAACAAGAAGATGGTGAGGGGGGAAAAATGTTTCCTTCTGCATTAAAGTGGTATATCCAATGAGCCAGGTACACTGGGCATCAGGTAAAATCTTTGTGGTGTTCATCTGCTCAAAGTCTTGAGCAAAGTAATGGATAAACAATGTCATTTCCACCAGATGAATAAGAAACATAGAAATAAGAGCTGCATCAGGAACTGTCTTCCAGGACTGAAATTGTGTTGAGGTCATATTGTTTCAAGTATCAGCAGGGATTGGATTGCTAATGCTTGTGATGATAGAGATCCAGTTTGTCTTCAGGATGCGTGGTCCCAATACCTTGGTCAGAAAAGCTGTTTTATGTCTCCTGGTAATTCTCCTCCTGGCCAAAACAAGACAGCATTTGGCAACAGTGGTCCTTGTAGCTGTCAATTCTGGTTCCAGGAATGCTTGTTTTATTCACTGCAGAGTCCTAAAATGCCATTCTCCATGATTTTTGTTCCAAGCTCTGATTGCATAGAAAAATCATAGTTCTCTCCACTGTGTTACATGGTCAGAGCTTGGAACAAAAATGGCAGGTTTCAGTTCTCTCCATGCAGTGGCTTTTAGGACTAGAACATGCTATTGAGAGATTTTGCTTGTTTCAAATGAGAGAGACTTCACAAGAGGAACACAGGTGGCTGAGGTTTGCCACCTGGGGCAGCATTAGGGGAGTCTGCTTTGATGCTTCTTTCCCTGGCATCCTAGATTGGCTAGTCAGACTCTCCATCTCCAGGTGAGGTTATCCAATAACCATAACTGTAGCATCCCTGCAGATGAAGTGTTGTTCTGATTTTTGAACAATTTCGCAAGGTTTTTTTTTCTGCTGTGCTCCTCACCATGTCTTAAACTCTTCCCTATGGCTTTTAAAGAACTGATGGCTGTTTCCTCCGTGACAAGCGTAGCGCAGAGAGTAGAGGTTTTCACCTTCAGAAAGGTAGGGAAGATTCCATCTACTGTCATAGATTCTTCCCCTCCCACTCTCTGCAGTGTGCTATGCTCTTTAGAGACAGGTTTATCTTTCAGACCCACCTGAACTTCCTAACTTCATCTCATCCAAAAGATCAGTGTGCCTCCGTTCTCTCCTCAGGTAGTATGCTGGGTGGTAGGTGGGCTTTGTCTTTCTGTATAAGTAGGATATATTATCAGGCTACTCAGGGCAGGCTTCCCAGTGTTCAAGTGAAAGGTATAAGGGAATAATGGTTTTGATGCAGACTTTTGCTGAGTTACTCTCTGTATCCAACTATTGCAAAGGTGCAAGAGGATTGAACCTGTGACAACCAGGTTCATCTGACTGGAGTTCAAGGAGTAATTAGAAACGATCTGTAAAGTCTTCTATTTTCCAGCTTTGCAGAGCTGATGGCTGGATTTTGGGTGACACTTTCAGCACGTGTTAAGCCGAGTGCCACAGACTTGGTGCAGAGCTGCTTTCAGGTGAGTATTTCATTGACAGTTTCAAACTCTGACCTCGAGTGTCTTTATGGAGAGCACTGCCTGGAACCTGCCACAGGGTGTGCATAAGCATTCAAGCAGAAATAAGGAGCCATGTACCTGTAAGTGTTTTCCATATGTATTACTTCATGTATTGTCTCTTTCTCCAGTGGAATTTTCCTGCATTGATATCCTCACTCTCTATAGCCTTTACTCCTCCTTTGTTTTTTTGCCTTGTCTTCTGGAATGTAGTATCTGCTCATCTGAAGTTTCTTTTGCTTCCTCTTAATTCTCTTATTGCTCATTCACACATACACTTCCCCCAGTGTTTGGTACCTCTGTGTATTCAATCTGTCATTGTCTCTGGTATCTTTGTAGCCAACTTAGATCTTCTTTAAAACATCCAGATACCCTATGCAACTTTGTTGGCGGGGTAAACGTGAGATGAGTAGTTGCAGTGTGTTAGCAGGCTTCTCATAAGAAACCAATAGGAATGTGTTGAGGAAAGAGAAAAGGAAAAGAAAGGGCAGAAGCAGGCAGGAAAAGCTTTTAAGTAAGACTACTGCAATAAGCATTTGAAAAAGAGTAGAAAGATTTTTTTCACAGGCTTATGATTCAATAGGTTGCAACCTTGGTTATTTACTATTGGGAAGTAAACAGACCAGGTATCTAGAAAAGCGAGATAGTGACCATAAAAGAAGGGAGATGAAACTATCAGGCCAGGTTGAAAGAGACACTGGGTAATTTAAAAATAGGCTATACTTTTTTGGACCAATTTTTTTCCCAAATGTTTCAGTTCTTCAGGTGGATAGATGTTGCTTCCAGACACTGATTTAGTAGCTTATACCTGCCTTCAGGGAGAACAGAGCTGCTGGTCTGAATCTGTAGCAGACACACACAGCCCATCATACTAAGTGACAGAGAGCTAGGATTACCTGCATCTGACAATAAACTAATTTCAAATACAGGAAAGGGATAAATGGAAGCCAAAGCACGGAACTTGGAACTGATCAAAATGTGAATCTCTCCCTTTATTGCTACTCACAAAACTGGTTAATCAGAGTTCTCATCCACGTACTCAATTTTGAAAATCATAGAATAAGTGTGCTCCCAGTCAACGAGAGTAACTGGATATATCTGTGATAGTCACATGCAGTGGTAACCAAGATAAGTCTCCCAAAAGGAACATATTTGTGGACACTGTTCCGTTTATACTCCAGAGTAATCTATTCTCACAGAGGAAGGGATAATACTCTTTGCATTTGCTTGCTTTTGTGTATTGAATTGCTCCAGCTTTCTCACAAGCAGTGCTGAGGCCAGATGTGAAAAGCAGCTTACAACAGTGACAGTACCTGCAAGAATGTCCCATCTCAGGCAGTAATAACTCCTTCACTAGAGCAATACTCTTCACTCATCAATTCTACTAGCCCAGGCATCATCTACTCTGCAACTTCTATTCAATGTGGAAATTGCCAGCTGTGTAAGTAACTAGTCAGCCTTTTACCTTCAAGTACAGCTAGTGCAATTTCAGCATTTGTTTCCACATTATTTTTTCACCCTAGGGCACAAGAAATGACAGACATTCTAGAAATTTTATCAAAAATCCATAGGGCACCTTATTTCTACACATGAAGTAGTAAAAGATGCAGCTGAAATAAAAGCTCATTTGAATACTATTTGCTTAGTCTTACCCTGTTTCTTAGGTGGATACATAAAAACAAATGGTTTTTGATGTAGTCTAACTGAACCACTGAAATGGACACAACTCACTCTCCCTCCTTTGCCTAATGAGAGAGGCTGTTCAGTGAGTTCACAACCATGCAGCATCTAAAATTTAAAAACTCTCTATTAAGCATGTTCTGATCTCACTGGTAATTAAGAGCTCAAGTTGTTAATAATGGTGTAGTTAGAAATATAGTTATTAAAATAACTCAGAAGTATCTCATTCTAGAATGCATTTTCAAGTAAAATAAGGAGCAATGACTTCACTATCAAATGAAGATGCACTTCAAAGTTATGGATAATATAAATGAATTATCAAAGCAGCTAAGACTATATGGTACCTTACCTGTAAGACAACTGGCTGCAGTACCCTCAAGTTGAATCCATTTGGTTTTGCTATTGTAGAATTATAAATAACCATTCCACCTACCTAAAGCTCTGTTAAAAACTTTCAAGAGGCTTAGGCAGTGCCAGACAATCACTAATAGCGTGCTCATCAGCACATCACCTTAAAGGCCATGTACTTGTGATGTGTTCAGTGCACTGAAAACAACAAGGAAGAAGTTCATTAATATATTAATTTATTTCATGATTTCAGTTTTAGTTCAATTGAACATCAGAGCAGACAGTTTTGTTCTGGGAAGACACAGGGAATTTTTGAAACACCATATTTCCATATTCTACAAAATATGTTTAGAAAATCAGATTATGGTTTCAACCATATGATTGTATAATTTGTCAGTGAAGAGGCTGCAGTTAGGCACTCAGCCTGGTGCTTCAGCATAGTTTATATTTTCAGACACGCATTTCACTTAGTGTCATATTAAAAAAAGTACAGCTTTAGAAGAAAAACATGATTTTAATTCATGTTATAATAATTTTAATTCATGTTATAAATGTCACCACACTGGTGGGTAGCTAGAGACATCACTTAGAACAAGATCTTCAGAAATGCCTATTGTACTATTAAGAGCTCACAATATTAGATTTTAAAACCTAAGTCTTGTCTCTAGACAAAATGTATTACCTGAAATTTGAAGTATAATATATACACAGGTTCCAATACAAATGTTGGAGGAATTTTCATACAAAATGTTAACTGTGATGTAACAGACAACTTTTAAATTAATTCATCCTCATCTCATCCAGGTATGTTACTAAGATTTTATTCTGTTTCCCTAGGAAATATTTTATTGTCCATTACATCACAATAGCATATTTTTAAAAAAATGTTGATGGAGAACAATTGAACTACATTATGATGTTACATTTTAGACGTATTTCTTAATTTCATCATAAAGTACTAATACAAAAGCTCCGCCCATGCCTCTCAACACATTCGACCAGGCACCTTTGAAGAACGCTTTGGATCCTTCATCTTTAGCTATCTTCTTCCAGCAATCAATTGTGCCCTTGTACATAATATCAGCTGTGGAAACAGACATAAAGGTCAGAAGGCTTGAAGTTATACAGAAAGGCTATTTCAGCTTTCATATATTTAAAACAACAAGGAATAAGCAAAGTATAGCCAAGAATTTAAGTAATCGATTCACGAAAAGCAATTTTAATTCTCCAGATGGAAACTGAAAACAAATCAACTCTCGGGCTCTTAAGTGAACATAAGTCACCAGTAATGTGTTTATTTAATGATTTTTATTTAATTTTTATTTAATGATTCCAATAAGAAGGTAATTAGTTTTCCATAAGACAAAAAATACCCAGCATTTCCCATCATTTCTCAAGGGAGATGATACTTTCTGCTGCCAGAACACCATAGGAGCACTAGTTCTTACCTCCCTTTCGGCCAGACTGCATCATCATCCTACGTCGCACTGTATCAAAAGGGTAAGAAACCAGCCCTGCTACGGCAGTGACAGTCTGGGCAATCATCCAGCTCACTACGATATGCACGTTCTTTGGATCAGGCAACATACCTATCATCAAGAACAAATGAGCGGAGTCAGTAGAGGGAAAGGGTTGTGGGAAAGATGGCTGTGGAAGGAACAATCACCCACCGGCCCTAGGAGTTACTCAATCAAGTCAATTCAGGCAAGCCTGCAACTTCTCCCTTCACCCATATTTGACTATTAACAGGTATTATGAGTGAGAAGTTTATAGGACTGTTGAATTTTGGGATCTAAGCCCTTTTCATGCACCCTGACCAAAAGGTCTCTCCTGCAGAACCCTCCCAGGCATGAGCTGCAATGAGTAACAAGCTTTCATACGAGCCCATCTGTACAAGCCTTAAGACAGAGAAAGAAGTTGGAAAGTGTCTGAAAACACACTGCAAACCCAAGGTTTGTGTTCGGAGCATCAAGTTGAGGGAGGCAGAAACGTTTCAGAAACACCTGTGTTGTATTCTAGCACTAGCACCCCAAAATGGTGCTGAGCCAAGTCCTGCTTGTCTTCGTACCACCAAGTGCCCTAGAGTGCCTTTACTGGGCAAATCCTCCCTTGCAGTCACTTCTCCATGCAATTCTTACCCTTGGCTGTGTCGTAAACCCCAAAATAGGCTGCTCTGTAGATGATGATGCCCTGGACAGACACACTGAATCCTTGGTACAGGCCCTTCAAGCCATCAGACTTGAAGATCTTGACGATGCAGTCGCCCAGCCCAGTAAACTCTCTCTCACTGGCTCCTTTGCCCACATCAGCTGCCAGCCGGGTCCTGGCAAAATCCAGCGGGTACACGAAGCAGAGAGAGGTGGCTCCCGCAGCACCCCCAGATGCCAGGTTCCCTGCGAAGTAGCGCCAGAACTGCTTGTGCCTGTCCACTCCCCCCAGAAAGATCTGCTTGTACTTGTCCTTGAAGGCGAAGTTGAGGGCCTGGGTGGGGAAGTACCGGATGACATTGGCCAGGTTGCCTCTCCAGAAGGAGATGATGCCTTGCTCCTTGGGGATGCGGACTATGCAGTCGATGATGCCCTTGTACTGCTTCTCTGCCGTGATCTGTTTGCTGGCATGCTGGACCTGTGAGGAGGAGAAGGAGGAGGGGTGGGAGGGTAGCGATAGGGACGCCGCAGGGGTGACCCCGCACAGCGGCCCGTTGAAGGGCAGGGACAGGGC